CCAACCCTTGAGCTAAATCATGAAACATTTTTAACCCTTAAACTGTCCAAGCAGATCTACGTTCACATGGTAGTGCTCCAAAAGTAGAATTATTTTTTTATATATATTTCCAAATTAAAAAAAAAAAAAAAAAGTAGATCAAAGTTTTCTTTACGTTTTCAAATGTAAGAAAAAAGAGATTACTTTTTTTACTTTACTTTCAAATGTTAGAAAAATGTAGATCTACGTTTGGACAGTTTAAGGGTTATATTTTTTTATTATCACACTGGCCGATTCCCACAAGGCAGGGTGGCCCAAAAAAGAAAAACTTTCACCATCATTCACTTCATCACTGTTTGCCAGAAGGGTGCTTTACACTACAGTTTTTAAACTACAACATTAACACCCTCCTTCAGAGTGCAGACACTGTACTTCCCATCTCCAGGACTCAAGTCGGCCTGCCGGTTTCCCTGAACCCCTTCATAAATTGTTACTTTGCTCACACTCCAACAACACGTCAAGTATTAAAAAACCATTTGTCTCCATTCACTCCTATCAAACTTTGCTCACGCATGCCTGCTGGAAGTCCAACCCCCTCGCACACAAAACCTCTTTACCCCCTCCCTCCAACCTTTCCTAGGCCGACCCCTACCCCGCCTTCCTTCCACTACAGACATACACTCTTGAAGTCACTGTTTCGCTCCATTCTCTCTACATGTCCGAACCACCTCAACAACCTTTCCTCAGCCCTCTGGACAACATTTTTTGGTAATCCCGCACCTCCTCCTAACTTCCAAAACTACGAATTCTCTGCATTATATTCACACCACACATTCCCTTCAGACATGACATCACTGCCTCCAGCCTTCTCCTCGCTGCAACATTCATCACCCATGCTTCACACCACATAAGAGCATTGGTAAAACTATACTCTCATACATTCCCCTCTTTGCCTCCAAGGACAAAGTTCTTTGTCTCCACAGACTCCTAAGTGCACCACTCACCCTTTTCCCTCATCAATTCTATGATTCCCCTCATCTTTCATAGACCCATCCACTGACACGTCCACTCCCAAGTATCTGAATAATTCACCTCCTTACTCTCTCCCTCCATCTGACAAAAAAAAAAAAACTTTAAAACATTGGTAAATTTCATTTCCTGCATCAAAACTAAGTATTTTTCAGGGGTCTGAAACTGATTAATTTACATTATTCCTCATGGGAAAAAACTTTTTTGGTATTCTAACAGCCTTCTGGAATGAATTAAGTTTGAGTACGACAGTACTACTGTGCTGAACTTGATGAAAGTATGAATCCAGTGACCTCTGGGACAATACAAAAGTCGCCAATCATCCAGAAGTCTATTTGGCCTCTTGCAGTTTGGTATAGTTTCCACATTACATGTGGAACAAATGCTTTAGAAAACATGAAAGCACTGGTTTGGCACTTCAGCCTCAAAAGTATGCTTAAAGATGCACTCATTTACTGATGACTCGCACTTATGACGGGCTCTGACCAGTTTACCCGGAGAGAGTTCCGGGGGTCAACGCCCCCGCGGCCCGGTCTGTGACCAGGCCTCCTGGTGGATCAGAGCCTGATCAACCAGGCTGTTGCTGCTGGCTGCACGCAAACCAACGTACGAGCCACAGCCCGGCTGATCAGGAACTGTCTTTAGGTGCTTGTCCAGTGCCAGCTTGAAGACTGCCAGGGGTCTGTTGGTAATCCCCCTTATGTGTGCTGGGAGGCAGTTGAACAGTCTCGGGCCTCTGACACTTATTGTATGGTCTCTTAACGTGCTAGTGACACCCCTGCTTTTCATTGGCGAGATGGTGCATCGTCTGCCAAATCTTTTGCTTTCGTAGCGAGTGATTTTCGTGTGCAAGTTCGGTACTAGTCCCTCTAGGATTTTCCAGGTGCAGTATGCATACCTAAATAATGTACGTACAGTGGTCCCTCAATTATCGTCCATAATCGGTTCCTAGAAGTGGGACTATTATCTAAAGACTATTTTCGAATCAATTTTCCCCATAAGAAATAAGGTAAATACAATTAATCCATTCCTGACACCCAGAAGTATTGTAACAAAAAAAAAAAATTTTTTACATGAAATATAGATGTAGTACATAAATACAGTGGCACATGATGAATGGAGGAGGAGGAGAGATTGAACTACTGTTTGGAAGGGGAATTCCCTTCCATCAACACCTCAGGTACCAAGTGCTTTTCTGGGGTTACTTCTCTTCTCTGTTTCTTAATGCCACTAGGACCAGCTCGAGAGTCACTGGAGTCCTGTCTCACAAAAAAACTGTCCAGAGAGGTCTGTTCCTGGTGTCTTTAAACCCTTTCAGGGTCCGTCCCGTAGATCTACGGCTTTACGTTCAGGGTCCAAACCGTAGATCTACGCCATGAGCTCAGCTCACTCTGATAAACTGTGAGTGGTACATTTGGTCCTAGATATGAGAGAATACATCTATGTGGTATGTGTGCACCACATAAAACAGATCCTGCAGCACACTGTGTATAATGAGAGAAAAAAAATGAAATCATGATTTTTCGATTAAAACAGCAACTTTGCAGTGTTTTTTCGTATGTTTTTTATAGTTGTATTTGCGATTTCTTGGTCTCATTTGATAGAATGGAAGACATATTACAGAAATAGAGATGATTTTGATTGGTTTTAGCACTGGAAAGGGCTTGAAACTGAGCTCAAAGTAGCATGAAATGTTAAATTTTTGCCGATATTCAAGAGTAAACAAACGACCTCACACGTCTAATACACACCAGCTGGTGGGTCTAATATACATTCACAAATATGGTGATGATATTTATACAATTATTACAGTATTGCATAACAGTAAATCTTCTATTTTTTGGTGTGAATAAAAATTCATTATGTGAATAAAAATCAAATGGAATTTATTTGTAAAGCCTCAAAACATAACTAATGAACAGAGGAAATGTTAGTTTAGTGCCAGGAATGCCTACATTGTTCATTCTGGACCCTATTTTGAAATTGGAATTTTTTTGAACTTTGTGTTAAATTGGCCGAATTAACAATTTCCGATCACTTTATTTTGTAGTTGAAACAGTTGACTTGGCGATTTCTTGTGCTCAATCGATAGAATAGAAGTAATACTAGTGAAATAGCTAAGAATTTGGTTGATTGGAATAATGTAATTGGCCTAAAATGGGAGTCAAAGTCGGCAAAATCGCCGATTCGTAAATATCGCTGACACATCAAAATTCACGAGAGCATAATTTCGTCAATTTTCCACCAAATTTCGTACTTTTTGTTTTATTACCTTCACAAAAAGATTCTCTATGATTTCATAAGAAAAAATAATTTTTTTTTTTAAATTCTTGGACACTGGTGCGTGACTCCAGATTTGGGCCTTGGACCCTGAAAGGGTTAAAACTTCCCTAAAATGGGCCAAGACTGTCACTGTACATGTTGCCAACATGGCTTGCAACAGCCTTGTCAGGGTGATTTTTCTCTATAAATCTTTCCATCCTACCCCACATTCCAAAAACCTCCTTAATTTCTGAAGAAGGCACCTTGTTCCATCTCTCTTCCTCCTCCTCTGCAGTAAGATTCTGAGCTGTGATCTGTTGCTGTTCCTGCTGAAGCTCTTGCAGCTCCTCAGTGGTTAGCTCTTCGTTGTGGTCCTCCACCAACTCTTCCACATCCTCCAAACTCACTTCCAACCCCATGGAACTCCCCAGTGCCACAATGGAGTTCACAACTGACATAGGCTCATCAGGGGCTGCTTCAAACCCTTCAAAATTCCTCTTGTGGATACAATCTGGCCACAATTTTCTCCAAGCAGAGTTCAAAGTCCTGGTAGTCACTCCATCCAAGCCTTACCTATAAGGCTTATTCAATGGAGAATACTGAAGTGTTCTTTCCAAAAATCTCTTAGGGTCAAGCGAGTGTCTGAGGTCACATTAAAGCACCTTTCAAACATTGCTTTGGTGTAGAGTTTTTTAAAGTTTGAAATAACCTGCTGATCCATGGGCTGGAGGAAAGGAGTGGTATTTGGGGGCAAGAACTTTACTGTGATGAACCCAAACTCCTCCAAAATTAGGTCATCCAAGTTTGGAGGATGAGAAGGTGCATTGTCCATTACTAGCAGGCACTTGAGATCCAATTTCTTTTCCAGGAGGTAATTCTTCACACTAGGGCCAAACACTTCAATGAACCATTCGACGAAAATGTCCCTCGTGACCCATGCCTTATTATTAGATCTCCAAAACACACACAATTTACTCTTCATAACATTGTTTTTCTTGAACACTTTGGGATTTTCAGAATGGTACACTAGTAACGGCTTCACTTTGAAATCCCCACTAGCATTAGCACAGAACATGAGTGTCAGCCTGTCTTTCATTGGCTTGTGTCCTGGCAGTGCCTTTTCTTCCTGAGTAATGTAGGTCCTCTTTGGCATTTTCTTCCAAAAGAGGCCTGTTTCGTCACAACTGAACACTTGTTCAGGTTTCAGTCCTTCAGCCTCTATGTACTCCTTGAATTCCTGCACACATTTTTCAGCCACTTTTTGGTCCGAACTAGCAGCCTCACCATGCCTTATCACACCGTGTATGTCAGTACGCTTCTTAAATCTCTCAAACCAGACTTTGCTGGCCTTAAATTCACTCACATCACTAGTTGCAGGCAATTTCTTTACCAATTCGTCATGCAACTGCCTAGCCTTTTCACAAACAAGTGAAGTCATAAGACTATCTCCTGCTAATTGTTTCTCGTTTATCCACACCAATAATAACTTCTCAACATCTTCGAGTACTGGTGATCTCATTTTTGTCAGCATATTTACCCCCTTTGCAACAAAAGCTTCCTTGATTTCCTTTTTCTTGCCTGTGATGGAAGATATGGTTGTACGGGATTTGTTATACATCCTGGTCAGTTTGCCCACACATACGCCACTTTCTTTGGAGCCATGGTAGCTTATTTAGCACTTGCAAGCACTAAAATGAGTAAATACACATATTAGATCTGATTTCCTATATTCTGTATTACAATATACAGTACACTACTATATAAACATTTAAAAATTTTATAAATGGTGCAAAGGTGACATTACAACAATATCAAAGATAGTCGACAAAAACTCACTATCATTATAGTATGCTCCTCACTTAACGAGGAATTCGTACCGGCGTGGTCTTAGGAATGGAACTCGGTCATTAAGCAGAGAGGCTGTATGTAGTTTAGGAGAGTGGAACAATCTGCAGGCAGAACTATCAAAACTAGCACCTTGGGTAGCTTAAATAAGCTATCATTTAAAATCTGGGAGCAAGTGATGTCCTTGGTAAACAAATAACCCAGACATAGGAGAGGGAAGCTTATGATGACGTTTCAGTCCGTCTTGGACCATTTACAATTCACACATCAGTCATCTTAACCTCCTCTTCCATGTATGGGTTATTTGTGTATTGTTCCAGTCATGGTATCGTGCCTTTGTTATTTATTGATGTTCTTGTGGCTGAAAACAACCTGTATCTGGAAGGAAATTAAACATGCAAATGCATCTAACCAACGATTAAGAGCAATTATCAAAATGTACTATGTGAAGTGTAAAATACAATTAAGATATTATGCTCACAAGAGACTGCCAAGAAAATAGATTCAAGTTCCTGGTAAAAAAATCAAAGGTACAATGGTGATAAGATGACTGACACTTTCAAAAATGCCATCCAGTGGGATATTTCCACAAGTTAATTCATCAATTTGTTGTATTGAAAACCAGTGTTTATTACTTTTCGATACCAAATCCGGAAAATCTTGGGATAGGACTCGGGGTCACATTTTACAGTACAGTGGACCCCCAGTTTTCGGCCAGCAGAAACCGCACAATTGGAATTTGACATTTTTTTGGGGGGATACCCCCCCTGGATTTTGTACACCCCCTTGGAAATTGTTGGTACCAACACGTCCCCGGGCGTCTTAATTCTTTACTCACTCTTGGGCACAAAAAATGTCTTATTTTGGTTAATAAGACATTTTCAAATCCATCTATGTTTTTTTCTTCAAATTATGTAAAAACAAGTTACTAGCACAAAACATGCAATTTTTATATGCGGTGGGGGTAAATTTTCCCTTTTCTCTTGTCCACGTTAGTGAAAACTTGAATCCCTTTGGGGGCCCATAACCACCTTAAATACAAAGCTTTTGTTTACAATTTTTGGCATGAATTTTTTAAATTATTCCCCCCACTTTTTTATGATGGATCAAATGGTAGTTATTAAAAACGTTAAATTCATAAAATGGTGGGGCGATTAATAAAGGGGTGAGGTTGCAGTGTTATCCCGGTAGGTATACTCGTGCAGTCTCCTGGGGCGACAAATATATACAAGAGTCTTCAAAAAGGGGTTTTAAGTTCCTTTACATTAAAAGGTCTTTTAAATTTTTCTCTTTGTTTTCGCATGAAAAAGGGAAAGGAACATGGCAAGCCTAGAGCAAAGCTAAAAAGGGTCCAACTACACCCACTCTGATTTATCTAACCTACCAGGATTTGTTCCATCATCCAAAACTATTACCAAACCATTTTCATATACCCTTTCTTGAATCTGAATTTTTCCAAATTTAAAAAACCTTGCACGAGTCCTATCTTGGCTAATATTTTTTGATCTATTTATACCCCTTTATTTTTTCCCCTCTTCCATTTAAACCCCTCAATAACCCCCCAAATTCTACCCTTTTAAAGAGAGTGCAGATTCAGATTGGATGTGACCCACACCAACTAAAACAACCGGTTTAATCACACAGGGACAGGACACAAGTACAATTTTCATGCACGTAATGTAAAAAATTTCCTAGGAAAACCCTTAAAACAAAATCATGGGGGTCATTTTATTTCTTTAAAATTTAACAGTCAAGTTACAGTAAAATCAGTCATAATAAAATTTGTTAAATAACATAAGAACGAAGGAACACTGCAGCAGGCCTACTGGCCCAGCGGGGGGTCCCAAATCTCCCACCGGCTCAAGCCCAAACACCCAACCTATAGGTCAGGTCAATTGACTTAAGGGAGGGGCACGGCAACCAGCCGGTAGCACAAGTAATCAGGGCCAACTCACACCCCCATGTAATTTTTCCAACCTATTTTAAAACTACACAACATTTGGCCTCTATAACTGTACTGGGGGTTTGTTTTCCCCTCATCCACAACTCTTATTACCAACCGTACTTTCCTATATCCTTCCTGAATCTAATTTTTCCCAAATTAAAACCCTTGCTGTGAGTCCTGTCAGGCTGATAATTTTTAGCACCTATTTTCATCCCCTTTTTTATTCCCTCTTCCTTTTTTACCCTCAACATATCCCCCCTAATCTACGTTTTTAGGAGTGCACATTCAGGGCCCCTTGTCTATCCTCATAGGAAGGTTTCGATCATGGGATCAAATTTGTCATCCCCCTTTTTACCCTTTTCCAAGCATTTTTATCCCTTTTTGTAATACGTGACCAAAACTGTGCAGCATGTCTAAATAGACCAACCAAGGATGTATAGAGTTGAAGAACAACCAAAGGGCTCCTTTTTTTATCTTCTTGATATGAAGCCCAAAGGGTTCTATTAGCTTTATTGCGAAAATTTGCACTGTTGTTTGGTTTCAGATTACTGCTAAACCCAAAATCCTAAAAATTTTTTTGCAATCCCTAAAAATTAAAATCTAATTATTTAGTTTAAAATGTGGCATGGTTATTGTCCTGTCCAACATTTAGAACTTTGCATTTCCAATTAAAATGCATCTGCCACCACTCCGCCCCTGATCAGTCTACTCGAATCTTCCTGAGTGCTCTAATGTCCTCGTCGAATGAATTTGAGGCCCCATTTTGGTGTCATCGGCAAACTTGCTGATGTCGCTTTTATGCCCTCATCTATGCTGTTTATGTAGATTGTGAAAGCAGGGGCCAAACTTGACCCCCGTGGAACACAGTCATATGTTTCCCCCCCTCTGATTTCTCCCCCCTTTATGCAAACTCTCTGCTGCCTATTTGTCAGCCAGCCTTATCCCGGAAAAAAATTTTTCCTATTCCATGTGCCTTAATTTTTCCCCAATACTCTGATTTGGGGCCCCTTTAAAAGCCTTTTGAAGTCCTTACACTATTATTTTTTACCCCTGATCTACCTCCTCAAATACCTTAGTAAAAAAGTTAATAAATTGTAAGGCAGGAACGTCCCTTTGTAAAACCACGGAAATTCGTGATTAATTATGCTTTTCAAAATGGGTCGAATGCCTGGCAATTATAGATTCCATAAATTTCCCCATTTTTATGGGTTGGCTTATTTGGGGTAATTCGAAGCTAAGGACCTTCACCCCCTTTGAAAAAAGGTACACATTTGAATTTTCCCCTTTTCTGGCCCATGTCAGTTTTTAGTGGATTAAAGGATTTGCCCAAAAGGGTTTTCTAAGCTCCTCTTTACATTCCTTTAAAAACCCCCCCCATATAGTTCTCGGGCCTGGGGGTTTTTTAGGTTTTAACTTTTCTATTTCCCAAG